TTATTTTATATAGATGAAAAAAGCATTTTATATAATAAACCTTTATTGTTTAACTATTAAAAGTTTATTCTTGAAGTTAAAATAAACTTTTGCACATGACATACTAAATGGCCAATATTTATGTATTAATTCTTTAATTAAACTTTTGATAAATATTTTTATATAAATGTACGCGTTTTTTTATATGCTATTCGATTTACCAATCTCTTTAATAAAAAATATCAAGAAATAATACCGTTAAAGAAACTTCTACTAGAGTACGAAATAAAGTTAAATGTTATTGTAAAAAATTTAGAGGAAAAATGGTTGATCTAAGAATATGAAATAAACATGAAAAGGAAGAAAATCAACTTCAAGCTTATTTTTCTGAATCATACAGACCAAAAATTGCAGTATCTTCTGATGTACATCTACATCTCAACCATTTAAGATAGAATATGATCCAATTGAAGAAGAAACATCATCTATAAATATAATGCATTATAAAAAGGTAGAAGATATTATGTATATTGAACCTGACTCACATATATCTAATGAAAATGAAGAAAATCATAATACTTATTCCATTAAGAAAAGAAAAAGGATTGATCACTATAGAAAACCTAATGAAAAAATCATTGATTCTGATTAATCATCTAACTCTTCTAGTAATAAAGAGGATTCAGTTAATGAGGATTTGGTTGATGAGGAAACTGATGAAGAATATATGCTAAATGAAGATGTTCCAGTTGATTTATTCACAGTTCCTAATTTTGATGATTTCGATGATGAACCAAGTCTTCAAACAGATAATTATGATGACTCATGGATACTTTTATGGATATTCAAGTACCAACGTGAATTATATAAGCTAAAAGATCAGCCAGATGATGTTCAAAATAAACAAGCAAGAAGAAAATACAAAAACTCTCAACGTAGTGAAGTTAGTAATCAATTGACATTAACTTTATTTAGAGTTTACTAATAAATTATTTTAAATTTTACTTCTATAGAAAAGGAACCGCCGTGCCATTATGATCGACCAACTTATAGATTCAAATGATCCTTTGGTTAACAAATTATCCAATTAAGAGTTGCATCCTTTGAAAATCGATAACAGATATTATTCTCCTGATGATAGCAAAACAGACACAGAATATCAAACTAGCAAGAGAAAACTCATAACAAAAAACCTCAAGTGGCGGTCATTAACAGTAAGTAAAGTTTTTAAAAAAAAAATTTATTTAATATTAATCAGCTTTTTATAATGCTGTCTTTTAGACACAAATATTTCTGAGAGAATATATTGATAAACTATTTGACGAAACCTCAAAAGTTCTAAAAAAAAGAAAGCATTCTTATAGTAATCAGTATGCTTCAGAGAAAGTGCCATCTAATGCTCCAAGATGAACACTTACTGGATACAATGGATCAATAAAAGAAGTCGTTGAAAGGGCTTGCCGTTAAAGATCAGCAATATCACTTGATCATCAAGAGAAAAAATAGACATTATCAGATTTGTATATATGGAATAATT